ACTTTTCACAAGTGAACAGACTGAAACTCTGAGTCGAAAATTCGAAACAGATTTTTATTTGATTTTGTATGAGAAATTGTTGGGCTATTCAGGAGTCTAACTGAATCTCCGAAATAATCACCACTCTACTATTTGTTGTGAAGTGCTTATTATCTTTTGTGCTTATAACTAGAATGACATAGAAAATTCACAATAGTTTCCGATATTCTGCTGGATGAACCTCGACATGTTTCAACGTTCACTGAAAACATGCGAAATACATACTCGATTGGCTGTAAGAAGTTCAACACCAGAAAATGTCAGAAAATTGACTTTGCTAAAAAGTACTATTGCAGTGAGTGCGATTGTATCACATATTTATGTATAACCCCATAATATTTTTAAAATTCCTTTTGCACAGTTTTATTAGCTCTATATGTCCAATTTTCGATCGATTATTCAGAGTTTCAGTCTGTAAAAATACTTTCTAAACAAAAGTTTTCAATTAATTTAGCCAAAACAACAAAAGTTTGAAGTCAAAAGAGAAGATTTTAAACTTCTTGTCAGTATGGATGTTAAAGACTACAAAAAAGTAGATGTGCAATAACCTAACATCAACATCTTGAGTAACTGTGGAATTTGATGGGATACAAAAAGTTATAATCTGTTCAGCTATTGCTTCCCTTCTCGATCCAGTTCCTAAAATGTTTCAAATGGATAAGGAGAAAATTTTGAAGTGATTGTCGGACATCTTGTTTAAACTTATATATACTTCTCTCTTTCATATTACGTGACGCAGAACGTTCATAAAAAGGTAAATGGGAACAAAATGTGACACTAAAACGCAAGGACGTTGATTCTTTACATGTTTCAATCGGTTATCGAAAACAAAAGTTTCTGCTTACAAGGAATTATCATTTTTCAGAATAAATAAAATGACTTTTTTCTTTATGAATTAGGAAAAACATGCCTTCTTCAGAAAAAAATCGTAAATCATTTAATACGCTATCATTTAACAAAAGTGTATTTAGAAATATAGCCTAGCAATTGTTTCATGTATTGTTCATGTATAAAATCCAATAATTGTATATAAGATTATGATTTACATTTTTAGAACGATAATATTCATTTATATTAAATGTCTGTAATAAATATTCCACAATATCAATCATATCGTTACCATAGAATTGAATACGAAATGTCATTAGATTCGTTGTTGAAATAAGTGTTTGACTTAAATTATCTTGAAAATTAATTTTGTTTCCTTCACTCTGAGAAGAAAACACTAAACTTAAATATTCAAGTTTTGTTAGTGAAAAGTATTTTAAAACCTGAAAATAATCGAAGTTGCATTCAGTTGTTGTCAATCGTTTAAGGTTTTTTAATATAGTAGTCGATTTACTTTCAAGAAAATATTTTAATAAGCATGAATAATCAATATATAATTCATATAAATTTCCATAATCGATTGATAAGAAAATTATTTTTAATAATTTTGAATTTGTAAAATATGCTAAAATTGAAGTAATCTGGTTTAATGGTAATAATGAGACATCATCGACAGGGAACAGTTCTTCTAATGGTAATAGACTTTCAAACTTTGAAGAATTAGGTGTACCCAAACCTAAAATGACATGGTAATGCAATATTTTTTAAAATGCACTTTACGATTTGTGTACATATACACTTACATATGTTTATTTTTTTATTTAATATATCTTTTAATTGAAATGATAATGATTGAAAAACAATTGTATCGACGTGAGAACAAAAATTCGATGTATATAAATAGTTAAAAAAAGTCGATGAAATTGAATTTGTTTGTAGTATATTGTCAAACCATGGACTTGTATACAGATAATATTTATTTTCACCATCAACTAAAAAGCTAAACTGAATACATTTCTATATAAAC